CCTTTGCCTGCTAGGATTCCACAAAAATAATTGATGACTGATTGGCCCATTAACCTTTAAGAAAAAAAAAAAGTTTGACAGCCTGACTTGTGTAATGAGGAAGGATTCCTTGTGAAATCAGTCTGGTGGCGGAGATGCCTGCCCCTGAGGAGGCAGAATTAGCCCCCCGGGGCCTCGTCTGCATAGAAACTGGACGCAATTAGTGTAATATCCGGTGTTATTAATGTCGTTGGGAATAATTGGGCAGGTTGGTTTCGACAGGTTCATGGTGCTAAAATACTATTATAGTGGACCTTTCCACAGCCAACTGTTAAACACAGAAAATTGCTTAAGTCCCTGTGAGCCCAATCACAAGACTTTATTAAACAGCCGAGCTCTGGAATGTCACACCAAGGAACAACACACCAACTGGCAGTTCCGGCTTGGGGCGCTGGTCTGACTTCACGATTGGAGGACGCACTCAGCTGCCTGTGTGTGTATCTCAAACCAAGAGCGCACTTTTCACTTGTATGCCATCGGGAACTTCTACCACCTGAGTTCTGTTTCTGCAGTGAATTAAATAGAAGCTACTGCAGCCGCCACCAGTGCTGGGCTTGGATCAGTGAGATGACGCCACTCGAAACAAGACAAGACAGAGGAACCGAGCATTCTCGCTGTTGACCGCTCGTTCTTCACCTTGTCCAAGAGGGTGACAGGGATATTATGCTCAGCTCTGTCTACCTGACCGATCAGCCTCATGCTGCAGACTGTAGTAGCTCTTGTTTTTTATCCAGTTGCTGATGGCTCAGACATCATCCCAGTGTCACCTCACACCATGATGTCAGCCTTCAGGGCCATGAGGGAGCTGAATCAACCTGCTGCCTGGCAAAGGACATTAGGAGGAATGTGGGTCCGAAGATCTCTTCACTGTTTACTTTTTTTGTTTGTTTGTTTGTTCTTTGTGTTTTTTTGGTACCTAGGAATCGAACTCGGGTCCTTGCGCCTGCACAGCAGGCGGCGAAACCACTGAGCTAAATCCCTGGCCCGTCTTCACTGTTTACTTAATGAGTGCATAGTCACTGTTGTGCTATGGAAGTATGAACGTGGATTGAACCAGAGCCATAGACGGGTTGGATGAGCACAGCACCTGGCTGGCACCTGCCAGCATGAGCCTTGCTCAGGAGCAGGGTGTCCCAGCTCTCCCGGAACTGTTGCTGGGTCCCAAAGGGACAAAACAGGACCATCTTCTGTCTCTGCAGGGCTAGGCTGGACCATTCAACTAAAAGTCCCCAACGAGCTGTTCAGTATTTTATTCACAGTGGTCAGACCTGTCCTGTATCCACAGGGCCTTTGTGCCAGCTTCATACACACCCACACCAGCCCCACACAGTGACGCCTAAACTGGCTGTTGTGGCATGCTTTAGCCCAGGTGTGTTGCAGCTGTGGATTCTGTGCAGCTGCTGTCCTTGTTTGTATCTTCATTATTTCTCTAATTTTGATTTTTCTAGCTCTACCGTCTATTGAAGGTTTCCCCTCAATAAGAAGGTGGTCTCGAATGAGTCCAGTCCTGAGGGTTTGCACAGTGGGGTCTTACCTGGATTGTAAACCTTAGTTGTGCACTGTAGGGCCATCTGGGCCACTACTTGCTGACCTTTCTTTGTCAGCAGGGCTCTGGCATCCCTCAGCCCCTTCCTTACAGGCATCGCACTGCGTGGTTCAGTGTCTTTATCTGACTTGCTGGAGACGAAGCGTTTCGGGTTTGGGGTTTTTGGATTTGGGAATATTTGCATAGACTTTAGTGGTTGCAGTTCTGAAATGCCCTGAAGCACAAAGATTTCGGATTTCAGAACCTTTCAGGTTTTGGGTTTTCAGATTCGGACTGTCAGCCTTTCGTCCCCCACAGTGGTCCATGTGTGGAGTCTCCATCCTGTCTTCCTCCTTGGTTGATTCCTGGGCCCCAAGCAAATACACATAGAATTTGAGTCTTTGTGGGTGTCCCAGCCCCGTACTGCCCAGGAGCAAGGGCAGGGCCACTGGGAGCTTCACAGTGTGGATTAGCTCACTTTGAGCTTGCTACCCACCCAGAATTCCACCTTTTAAGTTGGATAAGAGACTTTGTGTCTCCATCCAAAACATTGGGAAGAATGTTGAACACGGCAGGATTCAGAAGTCCCTCAGTGGGCACTGTGAGCTTCCTTCTCGGTGACAATCCTGGGACCCTTCCCATGGAATCTCCCAGTGTGTTGTCCAGCCCTGCAGCTCAGCCACCATCCCTTTGTTGACCCCAACACATGCCACCTGCACATCCAAGTGAGCATTCGAGGTGGTGGAGCATTGCAGAAGACCAACGAGGCAGAGATTGCAAGGCATTGGTTCTCCTCGGCAGTGTCGGGGGCAGTGAGGAGGAACACCAAGTGCAGGGTGGCCCCAGCTGGTCATTCATCTGTGATCTGAAAAAGCGGGGTTTCAGTAGGACAACTGGGAACTGGGCAGGGAGAGAGCACTGGAGAGCCGTGTGGTCAGGTGGGTGATACAGCTCTGTGCCAGAGACGAGGAGGGCCCTCTAGAAGGCAGAGTGAGAGAGGCAGCTGGCCACCTGCAAGGGTGGGTGTCCCAGGCAGAGTCCATCCATAAGAGGGGCCATCCAGTTTGGGGCAGAGTGAGGAAATCATTGCTGAATCCAGGTCCCCAGGAAGGTACAGGGGACCCAGTAAAGGAAGCAGGAGGTATAGGGGAGGAAGTGGACCAGAGACTTCCAGGACAGACAGAAATGTTTAGTGACACAGAGAAGACTAAAAAGGAAACTGTCCAGGGTCAGTAGAAGAAGAGCAGTGGTGGGATAGATTTGTAAGGCAAGTTGGAGCAATAGGATAGGACAAGTACTGCAGGGAGCATGTTTAGAAACTTGCAAGAAATAGATCCTGATGTTCCTGTGAACACTTAGCTTTGTTTCCTGAGTAAATTTTGCATGCATAGGTACATTTTGTTTACATAATTAATGGGGCAAAGCTAAACTGTAGTGTAGCAGTTTTGTCTGAAAGTTTTGTCTTCAAGTGAGGTATTAAAGGGTATTAATGTGGAAGTAGCCGCTGTTTTAGCATGAGGCAAACAATATAGATGTTTCCATGGCATCTTGCTAGCTCTCTACTGTCCTCATCACATGGTGTTTTGTCATCTGTGTGTGTGTGAGTGTCCCCTGTGTAGAGAGCCCACTCTGTCTTCTGCCCCTACTTCCAACCTGGCACCCGGAACGCAGCAGGGGCAGCTGGGAGCCAGTGCCCAAAGCCACACCCATATCCACCTGTCCAGCTCTTTGCTTCCATATCCAGGGAATGTAGCTCTTGCTTCTGGCTAGAAACTCAAAACACGGGCGCTGTGTGGCTGGTCAGTGTGCAGATATCTAACTGGGAAGCTAATGGTTGTAATTTTTTCACATGACAGCCCAATAAATCCTGATCACAGGGAGCTTTTATGTGAGCATTTGAATTTCACAGATTTAAGAAGATACCAGGCTGTTCAGTAGGTCTCCTAATGAACAGTTGCTACAGTCCACCCACGAATTACCAAGTTTTCCTTATGGCCTGTGAATTATGCGGCTCTTTCCTCACCCTACCTGTCAGTTCACTGGGAGAGTTTTGCATAATATATATGAATTGGGGCACTGTCATGCCAGAATCTGTGTGGAAAAGGTTGTAATTCATAGGATTAGGACATAAAAATCCATGGATCAAGAGGCCACACCTTTTAAAACCCACAGATGTTGTGATCTGGCCAACAACTGCAAGGTGTAATACAGGTCAGCCATGGAGAAACATGTTTGGAAATCACAGAAGGTTTCTTTTTCTTAATGCACACACACGCACACACACACGTCCCCCAGTGTCCAAGGGGGTGGGGGGTTGCAGGTCTCCCCGCCCACCCCCCTGTACAGCAGTTGGAGTGATCTCCCTCTGCATAAACACACAGGTCGCTTGTTTTCCAAATTCAAGGGTAATAAGTGGGAATGAAGTTCCTGTTAAGTTTCTTACTTCTGAACTCTGGTCACTAGGTCTGCAGAAATCGAGAAACTAAGAGATTGAGAGCAGGGACACTTGCACGTGGTTCCCTAAGGGAGCCAAGGACTCCCCAAGTCTCCTGTCTCCTGCTGAGCTCCCACTCACAAGTCCCACCTGCCGGAGCCCAGGCCTGGCCCCACCACCCCAGACCTTGCCCCTGCTGCAGCAGCTTTTAACCTGTGGAGGAGCCATGCATGGGCATTTGAGAGCTAGGGAAGGCCAAGGACCAGGAGGACAGCGTCTCAGCCACAGGAAGGTATCTGCCTATTGTTTCCTGAGACTCAAGGGAACAAGGAAGGAATGGCTGCTGTGGCTCCGAAGACAGGAAGCGGGAGATAGCATCAGGTCCTGACTGAATCCAAAGCTGTAGGGCACATGGTGAAGCAGGCTAAGAGTGGGGAACTGGGCTTGGCAGTGGGGCCAGAGGGGCAGAGAGCCTGGAGGTTGGAGATACTGCAGTCACAAGCAGCAGCCGAGTGGCAGGGTGCAGGTGACCGAGAAAGTAGTTGTATAAGATGGCAGTAGGTACCTAGATCGCTGGCATCAGTAATAACACCTGCTGTGGGTCTACACCCAGAGAACTCAGACCGTACCCCAAGATTCGCAGGACTAGCTTACCTTTCCTCTCACAGATGCACGCGTCAGCAGTGACTTACAAACCTGTTTCCCTCAGTTGCTTGTTCTGTGCCCAACACAGACACACTGACATCGCCTGCTGGTCTTTATTTCTCCCTGTCCCCTGAGCATCGATTGAAACCCAGCTGAGCCCGCTGGCTTCAGGAAGCAAGTCTTGACTGCTTGGAGGTGTGTGGATTCAGATCTCCGCCGCCGTAGTGGCCGGGTCCTGTATGTGCCACCGCCCCCTGCAGGTGCCATTGAATCCAGAGGCACTGTCATGACAGAGGACCGGCAGAGGCGCTGCCGGCTCATGAAAGTAAACTCTTCATCCCCACCACTCTGTTTCAGAACAAGAAGAAAACTTTGAGTTCATCATTGTGTCCCTCACTGGCCAGACGTGGCACTTTGAAGCCACCACGTATGAAGAGCGAGATGCGTGGGTCCAAGCCATCGAGAGCCAGATCCTCGCCAGCCTGCAGTCCTGCGAGAGCAGCAAGAATAAGGTAAGGGCCTCAGCAGGCTGCCCCCGAAATAAAGGCCAGTGATCATTAAAGGAGAATGAAGACCCAGAGTGACTGCCCAGGGAGAACGAAAGTGTCAAATGGCATGCGCAGACGGCAAGACTAGGTACTCTGCAAGCAGAAAACCCACTAATTGAAAAAATCAAAGCACCCCGTGTCTGTCTTCATCACGCACCATTCATTGGTGTCCTCACTTGACCACGTTGTGTGGCAGGGTGTCCAGTGTTAAGTCTTTATCCGCTAAATCCCAGATAGCAAGCACTAACATTTTATTACAGGTGGCGGACGTACGGCTTCTGTGTCCACAGTTATTTTTGTTGTTGTTGTTGTTCAGGGCAGAATGAATCAGACAAGGAGAGATAGGGACTTGAAAGATGCACCATTCTATTCTCATCAGTGCCAAAAATGCAAGCCCAAGCCAACTTAGAAAAGCCACTCCAGTTCAGAGATAGAAATGAAAAGGGGCTGCACAGACAGCAGCATGCAGGGAGTCCGGGCAGAGAAGAATTTCTGCTTTCTAAGCTGTTGAGAAAGCAGATGTGTGTGTCATTCCGTAACTGAAGGTAATTAAATGTTTTAGGGTTGTTTAACAGAAATTATATCTATCAGCCTGTATTTTCTAGGCTACTGCTTAGTTGGGTGATATTCTTTCTATTGAAGTTATTTTTTCCATAGAGTTCCTTCACTTTGACTGTTTTAATGCTTGAATGTTTTAAACCCCTTTGCTGGGACATTTTAGAGTCTTGGCGAGCATTTTGAATTGTTTAGACCGATCAACTAGAAACTGAGAGAAAGGACATTGCCCACCACCCTGCGATTGTCTGTAACCATTTAAAGAAATTTCCACTGGTGATTTATGATCAGCTTTGTCATTAAGAAGGGAGTCTGTCTTTCAGAAAGAAAGAGTGCCTTATTTTATTACCCTCTTTACCCAGGGTAAACCAGACCAGTCATTATTATAATGTAATTGCTTCCTTTTGGAAGACGTTTTACACCCAAGGTGTGAAGAACCGCTGTCTTTTATTCCGAGCGCCTGACTCCCTGGGCCGCACCCACATGTAGCCCCGCAATCACCCCTGAAGGGAACGCAGGAAGCTTTTGATGTCTTGTCAGTGGGGAGCTGCCAGACAGGTCCTGCACCAGGCTCGGGGACCTAACTGTGGAGTAGGAGGCGGGCGTGTGCCGGTGGACACTTCAGAGTTGACATAGGCAGATGGACGGGCCAACTGTGGAAGTTACACAGCCACAAAGAGAAAACCAGCAGGGCATTTACTGTTCCACAGCGAGCCATTCATTGTTTTACATCCAAGAGTTTGACTTGAGATGGTCGAACTTCTGAAGAATTCCTACCCCAGAAATCTAGTTTATTCTATGTGTCTCCCTGAAGTTGGTCAATTTTCCTTTAACTGGAATATCAAAGGCATATTTAATAAATCAGCCTTAAAAATCACACATGTCCTTTGTACCTAACACCTCCCCTTCCAGGACTTCATCCCTAGCAAATAATCATGAAGGTGCCTGAAGATGTGGCTGTAAGCATGGTTTTTACAGCACTGTTTAGGACACAGGAAAATCGGGGCAACTGAAATATCTACCAGAGAGAACTTGATAAAAAGTCCTCAGTAAGTGGAATTCTGTGCAGCCATTGAAAATGGTGATGTCCAAGATTATGTCAAGGCATCAAGTGACAAACAGATAGCATTAGGCTAAACATAAAAAGTCAGGTTCCAAAGCAGTAGATACTGTGCTAGCTCTCTCAGGGTACACACCTGTATGCAGGTGTGCTCAGAAGAAAGCTCAGAGGAGCAGATATCAAAATGTCAGTCCTTACGTCTGGTGACCATGTCTTTCTCCCTCTGTGCATCTTCTAACCTTACTGCAGTGAGTGTGTATTTTTAAGATCCATTCCAAAGAGAAGCATAAGGTACTTTAGAAGTATAAGAGCAAATGCCCCCCAATCCACTGGCATGCTTCTCTGCCCAGACCGGGGGTAGTGACTTTTTTACTGTTACCACGGAGAACTCCTCCCGTGGACAGTGACCTCCCCACGGTGGCGTGCTGTGGCTGGGCCTTTCCCTTATTCTCCTGTTGGGCAGAGACCATCTCAGCGATAAATCCTGTATGTGATGCTTCTCCCTACGCACATCCAAAGAGGAGCAGTGGCTTGAAGACTGACCCTGTCCTATCCCTGTCCACCACCTCTCCTGTTGCCCCAACATGATCAGAAGGGGAGTTCGTTCCTCCCGGGCCGCTCACTTGTCTCCTTGTGTTCTCCCTCTGTGCCCAGTCCCGGCTGACCAGCCAGAGTGAGGCCATGGCCCTGCAGTCCATCCGGAACATCCGCGGGAACTCCCACTGCGTGGACTGCGACACCCAAAGTGAGTGTGGGGATGGGCGTGGACCCACCTCTGTTGACTGGCAGAGAAGGGTTCAGGGAGTTGAGATATTTCTGTTCGGGTTTTACTTAGCACAGTGCCCGCGCACAGCCTGGCTGACAGAGGTCTGCCTTTGACGTGAGCGCTGTCCAAGCCTTGTTAATGCCTGGGCATCACACCCTGGGCCAGGGCCTCTGCCCTGTGCCCATGTCTTGGGTCATATCTGGGAAGCAACCTCTGCTTAATCAGGAACTGCTGGTTTGATTTTCCTTTAGAGTAGAGTACAGTTGGCTTATTCCTGCCCAGAGATTTCTGTGTTGTTCTTGTTATTTAATTTCAAAATCATATCTTCTGGCTTTTGCTACCAAATGATTTTTTTATTTAAAATTTGTTATACCCTGAAGCATTTGATTGAACCAGTAGAATATGTAATCAATGCTTCATGCCTTAGAGTAACCCAATCTTACATTGTACTTTCTGTTGTCCCAAAGTGGTAATTCCCTTGGAGCAAATCACTTAGTTGTTTATACAGACAATTCCTCTCTTCACAGCCGTGTTCAGTTCCTAAGACTAGGTCAGTAGCTGAACTGGTTGCTAAATGAAGGATTGTACTGTATATAGTATGCCCATCACAATATTCAGAGCAAAGAAGTAGTCAAAGGAAACTCCAGCTTGATGACTCTGCTTTTATTTGCGTAACTCTTACACGCAGTACTGGGATGTATAACAGACTATAGAACTACAGGACTGCACTGTACAGTACAGTCAGAAATCACAGTGCTGTGTAAACAAGGGGTACTTAACAAAGAAAAAGACATCAAAGCTGTATAAACAAGAGGTATAGAACTATACCCAAAAAAAGACCACTTGTAAGTCCAAGTGGCAGGTCATAAGTCCAAACACCTATTACCCAGGTAGGTTGTTAAATGAAGAATATCTGTACTCTTGAGGGTAGAATTTTCAATCTTTAAATCTTAGCCCTGAGAAGTGACATTCAGTCAACTCTTTCCATTCAGATTTTTTAGCATTGTGAGAGAAGGGAAATCCAGCTGAAACAAGGTCCCAGCACCAGGCTAGGTGCTGCCTGGGAACCAGGCACACTGACCTGGGTGGGCATGGCCATCCCAGAGCCCAGGGACAAGGCCTAGAGCACACAGCAGGGTGCCATGGGGGAGGACCAGGCGGGTCGCTCACCTCAGACTTCCTACCGGAGGTGGCCCTGGGGCCCTGGAGACAGAAAGGCCTTATGTAAGTGGGGGTGGCTGCAGAGCAGAGGATCTCCCAGCTGCATTTAGGAAAAGAGCAGCCACGCAGGCTGGACGGGGTTCGGGACAGGACAGCGTGTCAGGAGGAGGTATCTAAGCCTTTGTCCTTGGTCGTCAGCTGAGGGAAGTAGGGTTTCAGAGCAGGAAGAGGTAGGTCCTGAGCTGACCTGTGCAGACGACCAGCTGTCCATTTCCGGTGCCCTGGAGAGAGCACAGTGAGGAGGAGGCCAGCGGGGTGGGTAGTGGTCACCTGGAGGGGTGAGGAGCACCACTGGCCGCTCCTGACAGATGGGAAGGGAGGGGCCACCTGAGAGGCACTGATGGGCAGGCCTGGGAGGGCACAGCGGGCGGCCGCGGCCTCCACAGGAGTCTCCTCCGAGTGGAAAGGGCCTTCTTCAGGCTCCTTCAGCTGCGTCTTTTAAATGTCTTGTTTGGTTTGGATTTTTAAATTTTAGTTTCAAAACATGTGCTGCAATGGAGTTAGAAAAGAGGCAGTTATTTGAAGTGTTTTTATCAGAAAGCTTTCGAAGTAGGAGCTTTTAGGACAGCACAAGCCCTGAGACACTAGGCCATCCATGAAGGAAACTGCCATTGCTTCTCACATGCCGCTGAAGGTCCCTTACAGGGATGAGTCTGCGGGTCACAGGGACACGGCACGTGCACACTGGAGTCACCAGTCCTCTCAGGGCACGGCAGGCATGGGGTTTGGGGATGGGCGGGAAGGGGAGGCCAAGGCAGTGGGGGGCAGTTTGTGTCGATCGAGGCCACCGAGCGGGTAGACAGGGACGGGGCAAAGGCAGAGTGAGACAGTTGGAGCAAAAGAGACTCGCAGGGCTCCTGTTACACCTTCACAGCCTGCTGTGCTCTCCCAAAGGCCCTGAGAGTTCTGGCTCTGAGGTCCAGCACGGGAGGAGACAGTGCCTCAGCCAGGAGGGGACTTGGGGCATTGTGGGGGCCTTGGTTTTCTGAGACAGTCGCCCTGCTCGCTCCAGGCCATCCTTGGGCTCTGAGACATTGCACCTCAGCTCCCTGGGCACCAGGGTCAGCGGCGTGCACCACCATGCCAGCTCCCACAAGGGCTTTCTCGTTTTTAATGAAAACCCTACTTAGGTGCAAGTGCGGGAAGCCTGGGTGGCCAAACTGGTGGTGAAATGTGGTGGCCTTGGAAAAGTGGGTGTCGGACTACAGCCGCCCACCTCATCAGGCCCGGAACCGGCTTCGGTGATGTTTCTCAGGGCTGTTTCTGGGACCCCAAGTCAGAAACAGCCCAGGGGTCTACAGCTGCCTGGCAGTGGGGACGTCTGCTGGTGCAGGGGTGACGCCCGCGTCCCCCGGGGATCCTAAGTGGCGCCTCTTAGGCTTGGGGACCTTTGTGTGATGCAGGATTTAGAGCTATGAAAACACTCCCCACCCCCACCCACCGGCTTCCTGCTGAGTTCATTCCAGACCTGCAGGAGATGCCTCTGTCTGTACTCCTGTCCCAGAGCAGACACTGGGTCTCCTCTGCTTTGGGAGTGCCCGTCTATAAGGGGAGTCTTCAAGCCAGTGAATTGGGAGACAACCCCATCCGCCTCCTGGGGGCCCTCAGCCTTGGCAGAAGCAGCGCTACGCAGAGGTGGTGAACGAGGCGTGGTCTCGGGGAGCCAGGTGGGTTCTGAGTTGTGGTGTGACCAGGTCTGCCACCTCTCATGGCTCTGACTGGAGAGTGGGCTGCACAGTGGAGGGCAAAACTGCAAGCAGAAGCTGCAGCTCTCACTTGATGGTGGCGAGGCTGTGGATGTGGACGGTGGGTCCAAGAAGCAAGGGTTGGGCAGGCATGGTGGGGCACACCTGTAATCCCAGCACTCTGGGAGGCTGAGGCAGGTGGGTGGAAAGTTGAAACCTGGCCTGGGCAACTTAGCAACTCAGCAAAAATGCAACAAGGGCTCAGGATGTAGTTCAGTGTGCAGGCCCTGGGTTCAGTCTCCAGAACTGGAAAGAAAGAGAAGAAAGAGTTGGATTCAAGAGTGCTTAGGAGCCCTGTGATCAGCCGTGTGTAAGGCGAAGATCAGGGATGACCCCCAGGGTCCTGCTGCAATGGCTGGGCCAGTCCTGGGCACTTGCTGGGGTAGAGAGGACACTGTTGGCAGAGAGGCACCTGCAGGATGTCCTGGGACTGAGATCCTGGTGTCCTGAGGATGTCGGCCAGTTCTAGGCACTGATTGGTCACCTCTGCACTGGTGCATTGTCCAGGGAGCAGAACTGCAGCTTAGAGCACCCCCTTCCTTTTACAAGTCCCCGTGGTGGAGCTGGCCAGAACATAGGACCCTGTCCCAGCGCGGCCACAGGGAAGCATGGCGTGCCGTGGGTTGCTGCTGTGGTCCCCTTAAATGAGACCCCACATCGCATCTTCTCATCGCCCGCTTTCATGTCAGAAATCTGCACACACTCGCATCACAGGCCTGAGGGAAACCCTGAGTAGCAGAAAGGGTTTTGAGGGGCGCGGTGGCTTCAGGAACAACCTGTGCATGCTGTCAGCAGCTGCCCCTTGCTCCGCCTTCTCGTGGTCTCTGTTCGTTTCTCAGGTTCCCAGGCCACTGGAAAAGTGGACCGGTCTAACCGTGTGACCCCTTTCCCTCTTCCCCTAGACCCTAACTGGGCCAGCTTGAACTTGGGCGCCCTCATGTGCATCGAGTGCTCGGGGATCCACCGGAACCTGGGCACCCACCTGTCCCGGGTGCGCTCCCTGGACCTGGACGACTGGCCCATCGAGCTCATCCAGGTGATGTCATCCATCGGCAACGAGTTGGCCAACAGCGTGTGGGAGGAGAGCAGCCGGGGCCGGTCCAAGCCCTCCCTGGACTCCCCCAGGTAGGACCCGGGACGCCCGGCATGGCCCAACCTGCACGGTGCCACCTGCCACGCGGGTGTCTATGTCTGTGGCTGGTCCTCCGAAGACTGGGTGGTTCAAATGCCTTAGCACGTTATGTTTCTCTTTAGGCCTTGGGGATCTCTCTCCCCCTCTTAGAAACATATTAAGCTTCTAACCTTATGAATATATTACTTTAATTAATACATTTCCAATAGGCATAAGCTGTGCTAACACTAATTATGCGTTTTCGATCCTTCCGTTTTGTTATTCTTGTATCTTTGGTAAGCATCTGCTCTGTTGGTAAATGTTCCCGCCCCCTGCCAACAAGTGAGTTCATGGTAAGAAAACGTGTTTTATTTTGCAAACTGTATTTCCAACACATTGAGAAACTCCTCGTTAATGCTCATTGTTACCCGGGGTACAAAAACTCCATGTATTTTGAGGCCATTTAGCTTCTCATTTTTTATTTCCAGCTATTATAAATGGGTTTAGAGAACACATGTGCATCTTTAATGCTGGGGGGGTGGGGGGAGTGGAGGTTGGGAGGCCACCCCCTCACCACGGAGTGGAAGGTTGCTCTGCTCACTGGCCACTCCAGGGCTCTGTGTTTTGGGTCCCACTCACGGAGCAGGGCTTTGAGGTTTTCATCTAGTGGCCTCTCCTCGGGTGTGTGACAGGCTGAAGGGAGAGGAGACGACTCCCGTGATTAGCACATGTTAGATTTCTTTGATTATTTTTGCTGGTGATCAGACAGAAAGCCAAATGATAATCAATCCTCTGTTGAACTGCAGAAAACGGTTTCCACCACTGAGCAGTAATCACTGGAGAAGAGCCCAGGGGCCTTGATTCCGTGCATGCTGCAGAATGAGTGCCTGGGCCACCTTGGGTGGATGGGGAGAAGGAAGCTGGCGTGTTCTCCATCCTGCTCTTTGGGGTGTCTGTGGGGTGCGGGAAGTGTGTTTGTTAAAAATAGCTTGCCCTTCATGAGTCATACTCTACAGCGCAGGCATGAGTGACTTTCTTACAAACCAAAGGAAAACTCGTCCTGATTTGAACATTAGCATAGAAATCAGATGCAGAATTCTTTAAAAAACATATCATATTAGAGTATCAACTTCGTTCATAGATACAGTATCATGGAGAGAATTTCAGTCTGAAAATACAAGATGATTGGAAACTAGAGTGAGGTTAGTGTGTGAATGAAGAAAATATTGAAATAAGTTTGAAAAATTAATTTTATGCACCTCATGATTTAGGTTCAAAAGGAACATATACTATTTTTAATATCAAAAGGTTTTTTTCTAACCATTAAAATCAGAAACTATCCGGAGTAGTGGGTATAGCTCAATAATAGAGGATTTGCCTAGCATGGTCAAGGCCCTGGGTTTGATCGCCAGGAAAAGAAAATAAAAATTAGAATGATTAAAAACAAATTTGTGGGTTAATTCTTAAACTTAGGGCCGGGGATTTAGCTCAGTGGTTTTGCCACCTGCTGTTCAGGCGCAAGGACCAGCGTTCGATCCCTGGTACCAAAAAAAAAAACCAAAAAAACTTACATGTTCATTTCATCTTCATTCATAAGTGAACGCTGTACAGGTATTTTACAGTTTTAACCTGCATATTTAAGCTCTTGAGCTTGTAACTGTCTGTTCCACCTACTATTACACAGGTCATAGCTTGACAGTTTAGGGACGGTTTGGGGTCTTCCTCTCTCACAAAGGGGGTAACTGCGGTCGAATCCCCTCCTGTTGCGGTCACACTGGCAGCCCACAGCTGCAATTCCCCTTCCCTGGTGTTTCCAAAGGTAACCTTTGAATTGCTAACTTCCATCCACCTTCAGGCAAACAGGCATGTGTGAGAATTGAATGTTTCTCTGGGCCTTGAATAATTGCCTCGGGGAGTTTTGGTTTTGATTAGATTTAGCAGATCTTCATGGAACACTTTCTCATAGAAGAGAAGCAGTGAATGAAAAGTCTGACTCTGTCTGCTGTGAGAGGTGGACATTCTTAGGGCCCACGGAGGATGCCCAGGCTTACAGAATTCACAGAGTGCAGGGAGTCTTTCCTACAGCCAGTGTGCTCTGGGCAGTTGCACTGGACAAAGGGCATCTGAGCTGGTCTCTGAACTGAGGAGTGTTGTGAAGGACCGGGTGGGGCAGTGAGATGTGGGCCTAGGGAGGCTGGAGTGGTCCAGGCAAAGGAAGGAACACACAGCGGCAAGGCTCGGCCCGCGAATATCTGTGCTCCTCAGCCAGCTGGGTGGTTGGAAGGTTCCCAGACGAGGCCACTGTGATCCTGGGGACACAGAGGAAGCCTTAGAATCAGGTCCCAAGCGAACAGCAGCCCGGCCTGACAGCACAGGGATGAACAATGCAAACACCCGCTGCCCTCACCACCTGCGCTTCCCCGAGATAGAAATGAAGCCCTGCGGTGTGGCCACCACCCAGAGGCATGAGAGTGGAGATCTCGCCTGGGTCCTTCCCTTGGAGATACCCCCCGCCTCCCCACCCTGCCTTCGTTCTGCAGAACCTAGGAGTGCTGGCAGAAGCAGCCCAGGGATCTTTTAGTGTGGCCCACAGGTAACACCCAAGAGGAAGCTTTTCATCGATGTTTGTGTCTACTCAAGGAAAAGCCACATCCAGTTCTTTACAAAGGGCGCAGATGTTTTTACAGGGAGCTCTGGTTTGTCCCATCTTGTTCAGAAGATTTATTCTGACAGTGGAATAAAACTAGAAATGTGCCGTGTGCGCATGCGCGCACGCACACGCACACACGCACGCACACACACACACACACACACAGAGCAGATCTTTCTCCGATGAAACAACCCGTCCCGGAAACACTGCACATTGGCATCACCCAGGCTCGCGGGCAGCTGAGGAGACAGGCACCCGGCACAGCTGGCTGGCCTTCTGCCTGTTGTCCTCGCACCCCCATTAGGGCAGCTCCGGAGGGCTTATAATTGGTTCCAGGGATTCTCAGCTGCTCTGAGAACTGCCGTTCAAACTTGAGCAGCATTGTGATCAATCGAAGCTGACGGCAGCTGAAGCACTATTGACTTCCCCTTCCTAAACAGGGGAATCATTAGTCAAGGAAAGCATCTTTTAATTACTCCCAGGAAAGGGAAAAAAAAATCTTTTTGGATGGATTCTGCAGCAGCTGACACTTTTTTCCAGCACATTCGATATTAAATTTATTGTCGCAGGAGGGGAAAAGATGTCCTTCATCCCCCTCTGTAATGGGGGTTTAATTTGGAGAGAGAATCATGCTGGAGGAGAGATCGATGAGATAACAATTAACTACATCTGGGGTGGAATCAGAATTCCCCTCTCTAATTGCTATTGATACCATTTAAGCACACACTTAAAAGATTGATTTTAATGGGAACGGTTAAGTGGTGTAGAGGTAGGGAGAGTGGGCAGAATCAACTGGATTTTAGGGTTAAGGAGGGAGCTTACTTGTTGGAGCATGATGGAGTATGGGGCAGAGCCGAACCCGGAGGCACCAGGCAGGCAGGGCCCTGGGTTCTGGTGTGCGGGCCAGGTAACTGTTGCCTACAGGGAGAGGTCTCAGAGCTCCTTGATGACCTTTCCAAATGCAAGAATAATAAACCCAGAGGTAGAGGCGTCACAGGCACCTTCCTCCGGCGAATGAACGAGAGGGAGGGAGGGAGGTGGTCATCATGTCACACGTGTCAGGTGCCCTAGTCATAGCAGGGCCTCGGGATTCCTTGTAGGTTCACAGAATGGTGTCATAAACAAAGCCACTGGGGGCCACTCGGCAGCACCGTGACCCCAAGGCATTTGTTGTCACCCTGCTTCCAGGCGGGGCCCTTTGGACTGAGCGTAGTGACTGTCATTTCCTCCCAGGCCCGAAGCGCCCTCTGCTTGGCTGCCTGGGCTCCCTGCCTCCCTCTCTGTCCCAGCCTCCCGGCCTCTGGCAGGGAGGGTCTGCAGGGACCTCGCTGCCTGCATTTTGCCTATTGACGTGGTGCGTGGGAGCCTGCTGAGGTGGGCTAGGAAATCAAAGCAACCTGGAAGTGCAGGACTGTGTTCCCATGTCCATGAAAGAGCTCTTGAGAGAAGTTCAGAAATCACCATCGCCTCTTTGATGCCGCTTGGAGGGAACGAGTTGGCGGATTTAGTACACATTCGGCCCCTTTTTTAGCACCCTTTTTGCCTTTTTTTTTATTATTTGTAAGTTCACCTCCCTGCCTAAACTCCCTTCTTGTCCCTAACCTATGAAAAGATGTCGCCTTCGATAGGAAGATGCGGGCCCACATCAGAAACCCGCGTGGGAGAGACTGGCCGCACACTTCCAGATGGAGGCAGTCCGCCCAGCGCGGGGAGTGCCGTCTCCTTCTGATTCTGAAAGACCACTTTCATCTTATTTATGCACATGGAGATATTGATAAAGGGGAAATGTAACCAAACTGAAAATAATTGGATCCCTGCAGCCGACTCTGAGATATTAAAAGCAGCACCACTTGGCTGCGTCTTTGTCTTGTTAGGTTTGATCATAAGATCACAATATCATAATCTGAGGCTTAAATTTCTGGCATAAAGATGCACTGTTCCAAATGTGGCCTCAGGGAACATCACTGCCCACGCAGCCCCAGGATTGTCTCATCTGATTATTTTTCAACAGTTCTTGGCCCGCCGAGGTCAGTGTTTTGTCTCTTTTGAGTGTCCCTCTATGCTTGACACCTTTTCCTGTTCTCTTTCTTTAAAAAAAAAATGGGGAGGGGGAGAACTGGGAGGAACAGAAAAAAGGACTTTGCTGTGATGACCAGAGTCCATCTGCAGTTGGGTGGCATCTGCTCCCCACATGTCACTTCCCTCATTAACAAGCAATTGAATTAATTAAATGCTACTCAGAACACGCATAACAAGCTACCGGCAGTGTCCAAATTAGCACTGATAATCAGGATGATTTCCTTTATTATCCTGCTAAGTGGTGTGCAGACTCTGATCCCCTGTCTGCCCTCATCTATTTACATA